CTCCATAGAGAGCACTGGATGACAGGGAGGAGGATGCTTCTAGAAGGGGCAGAAGGGAGTGTGGAAGGAGCCACACCTGACCTGAAGCAACAGTCCAGGCTGAGAGCAGCACCTGGAGCTGGAGAACATGGGACATTTGCTGGATGACTATAACAAGAAATAAAAATGTCTCAGAAAGGGCCAAGTCCACAAAACACCAGCGGCAGTTTCATGCTGCCGCCAGCGGCAGAGCACTGACCCTGAAGCCAGGCCTCCTCCGGTGTGGGCAGCATGGCAGCGCAGGAAGCCTGGCCTCAGCAGACAGGGCGGGCGGTCCTGCTACCAGCCCCTCAGGAGGGGCGGCCCCAAGGACCAGTCTAGGCAGCAGAGAGCCCACTTTCAATCAACTCTAATGAGATGAAGGAAACGTCTAACCTTCTGCTTAAGTCACTAATGGAACTTACCATCCGCCACCTAAGAACCAAATCCCCCTTCCCCCACGCTCTCCACCTTGTGCCAATGGGCAAGGCAGTGCCCACAAGGCAAGGAGAAAACCACGTCGAAATCACTCTTGTATTTTCAGGGATTGAAGTGAAACAGAAATGATCAGTGGAAATGCACACTGTCCTGTTAAGCTCCGACCCATCTTTCCATTTTAAAGGTGTGAACGCCCAGGATTGAAGAAACGAAATAGGCTGAGACTCACTGTTCAGTTCAACCAGCTCTCAGGAAACCCATGAGGTCCAGGGGTCTAACCAAGGAGGGAAGACTCACCCACCAACCCCTCCATCTTCCAAGATCTGGGGAGGGCACAGGGCACAGGGCCATAGGACTAAATTCTTCACTCCCATCTCCCAGGAACACAGCCACGCACTCAATGGAAAGGACTATAGCTTCAAATTGAGAGGCCTACTGTGGCCATGAGGAGTCGGAAACGACTCAGGCCCTGAGGAGGGAGATCTGCCAGGGAGAGCCATGACTCTGGCCAGCAGAGGGGCTCCACAGAGCCTGGAGGACACAGCGACTGGTCAGAGCTTCACTTGGCTCAGGAGCAGCGCCTTCATGCTTGCCCCACTGGGGGCTGGCTTTAAAGCAAAACCAGCTTTCACTCCTTCCCAAAAACATCACATTAATTATCCAAATAGTGGTTCATTTGTACATGTAAAGGATTATTATGGAAGTAACATGCCCACTTAAAGGGCAAAATCACCCTTCATCCCACCACTAATGCTAGCCTTTTGGTAAATTTCCTCCCAGTATTTTTATATAGATAGCATCATAACGTATCATCGTGCTAAATTATTTTACAGCCCTGGCCAACTTGGCTCAGTGGATAGAGCGTTGGCCTGTGGACTGAAGGGTCCCAGGTTCGATTCCGGTCAAGGGCACATGCCTGGGTTGCAGGCTCAATTCCCAGTAAGGGATGTGCAGGAGGCAGCTAATCAATGATTCTCTCTCATCACTGATGTTTCTATCTCTCTCCCTCTCCCTTCCTCTCTGAAATCAATAAAGAAATATATTTAAAAATAAATAAGTAAATAAATAAAGTTTTACAAAACTATTAATACTTTTCTCTCAAAACTTATTTAAAATCAAATCCAGTTTTTTAAAAAACCAAATAATACGTTCAACATTATTGGAGTATCTTTATTTTCTGAAATTCTAAATAAACAGCAAAATTCAGGCTACTTGAAATCTAAAAGTAATCACTTGCCCCCTAAACCAACAGTGATGACACAGAAGGGATTAACAGTAAGTCAGTAAATTATAGCACTTAAATCAAGTGCTCAGCCACCATCTTGACTCCCATCTAAACTTCAAATCCCATTCCAACCGTCTCACTGAACATTTCCATCATGTGTGTCCCTCTCTGGGGGGCGGTGGGGAGACTGTGAACACATGGAATCAGCAGGAAGGCATCAGAGGTGCCGGCAGCAACACCGTGTATGTGGAGGCAACAGGGACCAAGCAGCTGATGCTGGAATCTGAGAATCCAGCTCCCGCTGCTTCTGGAACATGCTTTCCTGGCCTCACTGCTGCCAGGACCTGCTCCCCTCCCAACAAAGTCAACTCTAGGGCAGGGTCAGCAAACTTTTTCTGTGAAGGACCAGATAGTTAAGTGTTTTATATTTTAGACTCAGAGGGTCAAGACATCAAATTGAGGATGTTAGCTAGGTACTTATATAACAAGAGAGAAAACAAATTTCCACAAATTTTTTATTGATGATATTCAAAATAGAATAATTGGCTACAATGTTTTGTAATACAGGTCTACTAATAAGAATGGACTTGGGAGGGATCATACTTGCCAGGTTGAGGTTCCTTTCATCAAAATTATAAATGTTCATCTGCTAAGGCTAATTCTGTAATAACATTTTACATATTTCATTTTGAAGGCTTGGTGTAAACTGCTTAGGTGCACAGGTAAATGGATTCTGAAATATGGAAATTTCCTTTGTATTCACATCAACATGCAAGGTCCCTGCTAGAACTGTAATTCGTGTTTGGAAATCACATCTGTGGTAAATGTGTGTACAAATGGAGATCTCACCCGTGGTGCAACTTTTGACAGTTCAGTGTATTGGGCAGCGTGACAACGTACGTGTCAAACATGAGTTGTCCAAGTGACTTTACTGCAATACAAAGTTTGCATGTAAGTGATGATTTATTTGCCTTGTGATTTTGGAGTGAATTCACTAAAAACATTATGAAGTCTGCAGCAAAAGCTAATTTCCAAAGCCATTCATTGTTCAACAATAGTAGTTGAAAATGATTCTTCTCATTCAGAAAAATTTCAGTATCAGCCCTGAACTCAAAAAATTACAAGAAAACTTTACCATTGCTAAGCCATCAAATTGTTGTGTAGTAAGGCATGTCAGAATATTCAGCTTCTATTTCTGACAAAAATTCAAGGAACTGACTGATGATGGTTAAATCCACAAGCAGGAGTGAAGTTCAGCACTGATCTTAATGGCTTGTTAACACCATAGTCAAAAATTTTCTGCAGATCATCTGCTAGTGAACAATATAGTAACTGTACGCTTTGAACACCATACATTTTCCTAAACTTTGTAAATTTATGTTGTGGAATCCTCATAACAACCTCAAGCGACACTTACCTATAATCTACTATTGTCCATATTCATATAAACCCTACTGGCTACTTTCTCCCCCCCATACATATTCCTAGAGAAATTTAGTCATAGAGTTCATACTTAATGGCTTAGCAAAGATTCTTCATTTTTAAGTTTGAGAAGAATACTTTTAACTTCAAGGGGAATTAGAGCAGATTAGTAGATTAAGAATACTAAATTACACAAGTGTGTGTGTGGTATATATATATTATATATAAATATACATACATCTTAAATATCTTAAAATTTGTTGAAAATCTTTTCTCTGTTTTGAAGAGCTTTAGGTAAATTGCTACTAGTTGTAAATTCATTTTTGTAAGGACATACATTGTTTTGACATCAAACATAACCCAGAAACGATATAATTTTGTAACAATAACCATACCAGTGGAAGTTGCCAAAAAATTACTTTTAAAAAACGAGGCCAAATAAAGCTAAAATTGGTGCTTGGCAAATATTTGGACAACTTTGATAAAGTGCTATAGAGCTATAGAGATTTGGCTTCCAAATCTTCTGAAGTGATCCTGGTTTAACATTCTCTCTGGCAGAAAAAGAAAGCAAATAAAATACGCGTCTAGTGAATTTCTCAGTGTGTCTGCACCTTTAAGGCAGGCTTTGATCCTGTAACTGGCTTTCAGCCAAAGAGCAGCTGTGGTTAAGGCCAGAATGAACCTCTTTAATAACGACACTACCCTAACAGAGATAGGTACATACACAGGAACCCACAAGTGCTATGGGCACTTCGGTAAGCAAATGCTTTAGGGCCGGGGAGCCACTCGCTGGAAAATGACTTCACCCACTCTTCACGGAAAAGTCCTGGCCCCAAGAACTAAGGAGTCATGAACGCTGCAATGTTGATATAACTAGCCCTGTGTGTCCCTGGTCCTTCTTTCTATTGCTGTTCCCTTGCCCTAAGGATCCTAGAACTGGTAAAACTGCAGAAAGTTCCTGTAAGCAGCACTGACGCCACTGACCTGGAGAATGTGTGGGGAGCGCTGAAAACCCTGGTCCACTGCTCCCTAAGTTAGGGAACACCTTGACTTGATTCAAAGTTTTCCCATCACAGATGGCCTGAAAAACCTCCAAGCTGATGAACATTTTAGTATCACATTTAAACTACACCGATGTGTTCTTTTGTACAGTGTTTTCTGTGCAACATAGTCTTTGGCCCTGGGAGAGCGGATCCGTTTACAGCACAAATCCATTGTGTAGGTACAGGCAGTGTGATGGAGGCTAGACGGAAAATGGGGACTGAGGTGAAAATGGATGCGGAGAGAGGCATGTGCTCTGAAGACAACCCTGACCCACCCGTGCCCTGTGACCTGAAGAATCTACTCTAGTGTGCATGTGGCCGAAGAAAGCATTTGCTTATGGCTGCCGAGGGAGACAGCATGCAAGTGAAAGCATTAACGTGGGCCTCGTTCCATTACTGGCCAGTACAGTCCTTACATGGTGCTAAGTGCCAAGCACCGTTTTAAGCTCTCTACATATATTAACTCACTTAATCCTTCTAGTAACTTCATGGGACAGGAACTATTGATATCCTCCGGAAACTGACACACTAAGAGGGAAGTCACGTGCCCAGTGTCCCACAGCTAAGTGGCAGAGCTGGCTTCAAACCCAGACAGCCTGGCCTTGGAGTCAGTACCCTTATTTTATTTTTTAATGTTTTTATTGATTTTAAAGATAGAGGGAGGGAGAGAGAAACATTGATGAGAGAAACATCGATTGGCTACACCCTACACCCCCCTCCTGGGGATTGAACCCACAACCCAGGTACGGGCCCTGACCTGGGATCGAACTGTGGACCTCTGGGTGCATGGAACACTCAACCAAATGAGCCACACCAGCCAGGGCTTCACCACGTTTTTCTTAACTGAGCTACAGGGAAGACAAGAGTAGCAGCAAATAAGCATAAGTGACTGGAAACTTTTCGTTCAGAACCTGTCAGGGAGGTCTGACAGGCCATAATTACCACACCATGAAATAAGTCACTAAAAATAAGAACAGAAATGTTAATTTTAACATACTCCACTGATTATTTAATATTCACTTTATGTACTCATTATAAAGGACTCTCAGTTTAATAGTAAAATTTAAGTGTGTGGGGGTTTTTAATAAGAAAATACAAGTACAGGTTTCTAATTTATATTATGTTTGGGTAGATTTGATTTAGACAAATCTTAAGGTGACAGGCTAATAAATGCCTAGCACCTCTTAGCAATAAAAGTGACATCAAAAAGATATAGCAATGCTCTTACCAAAATTAATAAAAGCTTAGATACTCTTTAAAACTATGGGGGTAGTTTTGTCAATAGGCCAAAATTTCATAGGAAGGTGGGAACACAGGCCTTCCCCCTCCTCGTTAGAAGTCATTCTGGTAGGACTCATGGTGGCCATATGGTGTTTCAAGTACTAATAGGAAACAAACACGTCAACTTAAGAATACAAAAAGCAAACTGTGATATAAAGAATAAGAAAAGGGAGGAAACATTTCAATAAGCTCAGATATGACATGATGATACTATCACAGGCCTTAGTATCTTCTTTAAATCTTAAATAAATTGCGCCACCAACAGAAAAAGTCACCTCACAGAGAATGCTATGAGATTTTTAAGTTGCTAGACTCTTTTCCATCTTCTCCTCCTCATCAGCTCTCGATACTGCTGTCAAATTCTACACACTGGCAAAGAAAAAAGGAGTGAAAGTTGAGGGATTTTATAGAGAAATAATTAAAAATCTGTTGTGATTATTTGAACTAAAATATTATAGCCCCCAATATCACTTTTTTTTTTTACTGATATCATTTTAAATGCCTAAAACACATGGCCTGTCCTTAAATGCCCATGTGAACATTAAACCAATTACCACAATACCTGAAGACTAGACTCTATTACATTCTAGCAGAACAGCCACCTTCTCTTCTATCTCCCACCCACTCTAGGAAATAACACAATTCATTTTACAAAGACACTGGGGAAATACGCTTGTTTCTTATAATGGCTGTCAGTTCAGAGGCAATTAAGACAAATTTTTTTACAGTGAGGAAGTTAATTTTACTTTCCAAGGGAGGAAAGGGCCAGTGCATTGCTGGTCAATACAGGGCCAATTCAGAGACAATTTAAAGTACAACTACCAACAACCAGGAGTCTCAAACTTGACTATTCACTTTTCATCTCAAAAGCATCTCCAAAGACTTACAACACGAGTGCACTCACTAGAAGGGATACAGCAGGGCTACGACACTGAGAAGGGGAAAGGGCCACAAGGAGCTTTTCACAAACTGCAGGCTTTGCCATACTGAACGCTGCGGCCAGGCCTGAGGGGCCATGTGCTCTAAGGCCTCTCTACTACTAGGGACTCACATACATTGATTTTTTTTTTAAACCCTTTGTTAAAAATATTGAGATGTAATTTACACAACATAAAAATCACCATTTTATAGTGCACGTTATTGTGCTTTTTAGTATATTTACCATGTTGTGCAACCTTCACCAATTCCAGAACATTTCCATCACCCCACAAACATCCCCTATATCTATTGCAATATGCACTGATTTTACCCAAAGTTTCTCTACACATCTGTTGCCCAAGCAAGTATTTAAGATGTTTGGTTGGGTGAATCTATGGAGTATCTAGATAGTAAGAAAACAATAAAGCTGCATTGTCCATAAGGTTACTAAACCCAAAATCTTGGCAACTTGAACTTTTTACCAATTGATTAAGAACAGCAGAGAAAATGACATTCAACATCCATCTTCACGTAACACATCAGTGTTCCCTAAATTCATCCAAGATGTTAAAAGAAGGGAAGACAATCTACAACGATTAACATAGCTGTCCATTGTTGCAATTTCAAGATATCGAAGATGCATACGTGGGGAAATCTCCTTTAATATCAAGTATAGCTAGATTAAAACAACAACAAACAAAAAAACTTAATAATTAAGCAAATATTGCCCCATTTGGGAAAATAATCCCTAAACCAGGCCACTAGTTAAAGTAACATAACTAGAAGGGCAACCTTCCTTCTATCACTCTTCTGACCTAGTCTCTCCTAATGAGAAAAGTAACTTTGGCAAAGTCTGGCAGGAAAGCCTGCAGATGCGGTGCTCTGGCTGCAGGGCTCTCATGACCTAAGTGAGCTCATGGCTTCTAAGACACACAGGAAGGAGACCTCACCTTCAGGCAGCGGGCTGTTGAAAGCGGGAGGAAGTAGGTCCACGAGGGTGTCTTGCTTTTGTGCACTTATCTGGGGTGCTATTTCCAGAGAAGGAGTTCCTCTACAGAGTGTGCCCAAGGTGGATTTCTCTAAGTTGCTCTCAGAGTTGTCCAGCTGCCCTCACCAATAAGTCACAGTCTTTGTAGGTTGATAGAACCACCAGTCAAAGCAGATGCATATGGATTGTGGGGAAGCCTTCTTTAGTATCTAACATAGCTGGATTAAAACAAAAAAACTTAACCATTAAGAAAATCTTCACTTTAATCATTAATTTAGATTATAGCAAATATCAACTAGGTACTAAGCTTGAGTCTACCACTAGCATGGACACTTAACACTTATTAATAGGGATTTTGTGGGTTTGGTTGAAGGCTGCAATGAACTCTCAATTTTAGTTCTATAAGAAGTTAGTTCTACTTGATAAGTAAACAAGATCCAGAAATATTTATTGTTAACTCATTCTTGCTGAGGTTGCTAAGCAACACTTCCAGTGACTCCTGCTGTGCAACAAGTTGTACTCTAGTAATATCTTTACAATTTTATTGTAATTTGCAATAATGATTTAAATACATGTTCATTTCCTGGATTTTCTAAAACACAATCAGATGCAATCAAGTGAAGTTCACGACATTTATATAATGTGCAAACTAACAAACTTGCCTCAAAATAGTTCCCTATGGAAGCACTGCTACATTACCCTTGTTTAAAGATGCCCAGGGAACAGTCCTAAATTAAAATGACGCTTGGCTAAATGAAGCTATAAAGCATTCATCCTCTGTCTACCTGTAAGAAATACCCCAGTGGCCAGAAAACTCCAAGAAACCTTCCCGGAACTACAATTTCATTTCCCTTTAACACGGGGCATTAATAAGTTTGAGAATCAACTGCAGGTGAAAGAATCCAAAAATGACTTAATGTATTTAAGACTCTTATAGGGTCAAAACAATGATATAATTGCTATACAGTAAAAAGCCCAAAGTTAGCTAAATTTGCAGATATATTTTGGAATGTAATTGCTCCAAAATTTCCCATTCTTAAATTTGTTTAATACAACTTTTCTAATATAAATAATGATCTTGTTCTGAATAAGCCTGGATGAAATTTAATCTTTGTGAAATAAAAAGACAAATTACCTAGCAAGAGATCCCATGGCTCTTGTATTGGAAGAGCACTAACATATGCACATCATCATGACTTGGGAGCTGTTCAACAGAGGGAATCCTGATATAACCATTTTCTAAAAGGGTCAGATTCCTCAGGTCTAACACAAGTGCCTGCTGAAAGGATTATTTCAAAGTTTCCCTTAAATCAAGATTATTCAAGAGATTAAAAAAATACCAACACAATAATTATTCTTCAAACTATGTTATGAATAATTCTCTTGGTTTAGAAAAAGGAGGGCTTGAACTCTAGGACTTTAGTTGTGGGACAAGAATAAAGGGAAACATACAGGAAGGCATTAGGATGAGTGGGACTCGGTTTTAATGTAAATTTCTCCCAGATTACTGCAAAGAGTATTGCATGTCACATAACCACAAAGAATACAGTTATAAAAAATACACATAATTAATGTACAATAAAATTTTGACAGGTAAAAAAACGTAAAAAAAAAAAAAAGGTCTATAGCTATCTGTTGACGGGATCCATACATTAGCTAAGGTCATATTCAGATTGAAACAAATTCTGGAAATTCATGCTGCAAGGGACAATGAAAAATTTCTGGGCAGCTCAAAATTTTACAGCAAACACGGAAATCAAAATAAAATGTTCCTGTATCCTAACCCTAACCCCCCAAAACAACAAATGGGTTCATCTTAAAAAGATAATAACCAGAGCCAACAAGGGTATAGGTGTCATCATCTGTGCCCTCATGCTCCCTGCTCCTCAAACCTGGGAAGACAAGAGGAGGAAGTTTTCCCAATCATCACAGCGTCTGGATGCCCATAGATCTATGAAGGAAGACAGCTGACTTCTATCTCTGATTTTTGGAGATATAAACACACACACACACACACACACACACAAATGAACAGGTTACAGAAAATGGATGGAAACAGCTACAATCTCCACCCACCCAACCAAACTCACAGTCGCTTTACACGCCACCTCCAGCGCCACGCCTACTCACCCTGCACTCACCCCCACCAAGGAAGGGAAAGGGAGATTTTCAACAAATGAGGACATAGACTCGGACATGAACATTTCTCTACACCGGGCTATTGACCTGTTCCACCTGTCACCTCCACAACCATCGCAAAGCCTGCGCCATGGCAACACCACACCCAAAGAGGCTGCCGAAACCAGACTCACTCACAACGTTACGGGCATTTTCCTGGGAAACGTGATCTGAGCAACCAGAGAGGATAAAGTTCCAACTTTATGCGAGGTTTGCCGATGTGCACCCCAAGACCATACTGTTGCCTGACCGCAACATCCCACCGATCAGCACTCTCGGGGGTAAGGCCCCGTCACCGCAACAAGGAGGCGGAGGAAGGACCAGCGAGGCCACAGCGCGTGGGAAAGTGAGCGAGAGCACGAGTCCGCCTCCCAGCCTCTCGCCAGGAACGTTTGACACCATCTCAGCGATGGCGGAGGACCTCACCCAGAGGCCAGACGGATGCCCCCAGCCCCAGAACTGCTCCCCGATGGGTTTTACTTGTGGCCAGAGCTCCTCCTTGAGTTCTTTCAGCTCCAACAGACGCTTCCTGCTCTGGGCTCCGCAGCGGCTCTGAAGGGTTGTGCGGGCCCCCACGCTGCAAACCTGCAGCGAGCCCCGAGGTGCATATACTTGGGGACCCACATCGCACAGGAGCCCCGGGGGCGAGGCACCCAAGGCCATCAGGGAAAGTGGAAACCAGCATTTTGCTTAATAGGAGGGGCCTCTTCTCTTTCTCCCAGAGCACCTAGCACTAGGCAGTTGCTCAACGTGCCTTCCAAAGCCATAGGAAGAAGACAGGGGCCGACAGGGGCCTACAGGGACCTGCACTTGGACACCAGCAGGCTCCGGGAAGCGGTCTCCCGTCTGGCTGGGCTCGGGCAGTGTCCGCATGTGGGGCTTCCCCTCTGATGCCACATTTCGGTTGGGCCTGAGAACAGACTTGGACCCCATCATGCTCAGGGTGCCTGTGAGGTCAACTGTGTACGTGGGAAACATACGGGCCTTGGGGACACAAAACGCCTGGACTTGGTGCTAAATCGTCATTCACAGGTGGCTCCATGGCCGGGCCCTGAGGATCTCGTCCTGGTCGTGTCTTGGACGTCTTATCGCCCCGCAAGTGCCTGGTGCTGTGGTTTGCGGTCTGAGGAGCAGTTAGGCCTCGAAGGCCCGGCCTAAGATGTGTGCACTCCGCACCCCGAGCTCCCGCCTTCCCCACTCGGCGGCGGCGACCAGTTTCCCGCCCCACGGCCCGACCAGAGGTTGGTGGCAGTTGAAGGCAGTTGGGACCGGCCCAAGCAGGTTGGAACCGGTCTGAGCCGGGCCGGAGGAGGAAGGGGGGAGGGAGAGGCCGCCTCGCGCTCTCCCTGCGCGCGTGACTCACGCTGGCCGCTGACG